TTCCCAAATTTTAGGTGATTGTCTTTTTCCTAGAACATGAAAGGTGGTAGTCAGAATTGACAAGCAATTAGTGTTTTCAGATTAAGTATAAACTGAATCACCTTGTCACTATACACCAAGTCATCAGAGAGAAGGCAGCTGTAGCCTTCAAGATACAAAGTCCTTAGTAGTACCAAAGGATCCTGGGACAGAAGATATTCCCTCCATTTTTGGTGGGAACTTGATCACCACCTTCAAGGTACAGTTTCAGTAGCGTTTTCCAAAGACTGAACCAAGAAGGGCACTGAAACTCTTGGGCACACTGACACATTCCCCCCCACTCCTTCCCAACACGCAGCCAAGGGGCTTGTCCTTTCTATGCTAAGCCTTTAAAACTTGTTACTTTAACTCAAGTCTTGAGCAAAAAATACATTGTTCTGCAACCAGGCCAGAAAACTCTCCTAAGAATTTACAAGCCACCTATGGAGTTTTAAAAGGGCTTCAGATAGAATGGTTACATGCCAGGGTTTCCTAACACATCCAAAAATGTGGCCTGCAAAAGAGTAAGAGAGAAAAAAGAAATGTTGGTGCCTTTTAAACTTTATAATAGATACCAATGAACATTGGAGGATATCATCCACTAGTAGATCATCTTCAAGAACAATCTAAGTCAAGTCTGTAACTTCGAGGAAATAATGACAGCAGACTTAGAGTCTTGGAAACTGTATTTCCTGACCTGACACTGATGCCTACCCCACCTTAACAGAGGATTTCCTACATGGCTTGATCTCTCTCTTCCATCAGATGTCACCATTGGAAACTGAAGGCACATGGTCCCTCGCTTCTATTTTCCTTTAAGTGATAGGATTCATACAGGATAAGTTGCTATGCACATGGAAGAATAAAAATACTCTTCGGAACGGTTCCAGGGAGCAGAGAGGAAAGAGCCTGCCTTCCTTAGCTGGGACGTGTTCACGCTTGTACTCAAAAGATAATTGGCTTCGTGCATATGAAAGCAGCTCCGAGGAAGGCAGTCATCAGCAAGGAAAGCTAGAGCCTTCATCCCCATGCTGCCCTGGACATCCACCAGTGGACTGGCTACAAAAGCTGTTCTCACCCAACACGCTAGACCTGTCAGCCTCTGAATATGGAAATCAGAGACCTGACTCTGAGAGGAATTCAGAATTCGATGCTTCCTGGATGCTCCCAGGTGGAAGTGCCCTACTTTGCTTGCACAAAGAGAAGCCCGTCTTGTGACCAGTGAACTACCCTGCCTTCATCCTAAACATGTCCGCTGAGGGCCCTCTCAGGGAACTCCTACCATATTTCTTGCTAGTTTCTCCTATACAGAAAGGTCCTTCACCCTGGAAACTTCTACCTCTGGTTGGGGTGTGGCTTTTCCTTTTTGCCCTGAATGACCAGGATGGTGTTCTGTGGCACCTCTTGCCTCCAATAGCATCAACCTTTATGTTCTAATCTTCATTTCCTAGTTATAAGACTGCTAGTGCTGCACATTCCCATAGGTGATTTATTATTCTCTTTAGGAAGGTATATTTCTGCAAGGATCATGTCATTTGCAAGGCATACGACAGAAGGGAGCTTTAGTTAAGAGATGGTGAAATAAGTTGCATCAGGTTTTGCTTGGCAAGGACACCAGATGGATGCCTTTATGATGAAGTGGGGCTCCTCCAGCCTTTTCTTTTATGCAGGTCTCCAACAGGTGTTTCCTCTAAGGCATATCTGTTTTCCATAACATCAGAATGAAGAAAGATGTTGTCTGTGACAGCTTGGGTACATAGATCATGCTTTTATTATGATAGAAAAGTGTACAGCGATTGATTTGGTATCCCGAGTCAAGCTAAAATGTGCAGGGGAGAAGATTATTCTCCTTTTGCCTAAAAGACCAGGAGTCCTCGTTATGGGGATGGAGGAAGGGGCAGGAAGAGGGAGAAGGAGGGGAAAAGTGAAAAGGCTGAAGAAAGTGACCAGAAGGAAAACAGTAGCAGTTTTTGCACACTTGAATGAAGAGAGCGGAGAGCAGGAAGCCACCTCTCTGAAGGTAACCTGGGTATATTTTATATCAGTATCTGAGGGATGGTGTCTAGGAATCTACACATGGAGAGAAAAGTAGGTTGTATGAATGAGTACCATAGCCAGTTCTCCAGATCCTGATAAAAATCAAAAACAGACTCATCTTAGGTATGTCCCCTGGTGAGTTTCTTTAACAAGCCTGGCATAAAGCCATCACCACGGTTCTATCTAGTACCATTAAGAGAGCCTGTATGGCTCTTAGAATTAGGAGTTAGAGCTCCCGAGTTATGGAATTTGTACACAAATTCTACGAGCCGTATTTAAACCACCAAAACCCACGTTAATTTGAAAGAACAAGATAACCCATTTTGGTCAAACTGACCTTGAGGCTTATGTTGCAACATTCTCTGGCTAGGTAAATGACTAGAATCCACCACGTTTATAGAGAGTCTTAAATGGTGAGGAAGATAAAGGATTGCACCTCAGTCTTGGCCAATCTCATTGGCAATAAGCTCTTAATTTCCAAACCCTTCTCCCATGGCAGCTTCTCTGTCTGGGTCTTCTGACACTTCTAAGCTGACAATCTTAAGTTTAAGTAAGTTCCTTTGTCTGAAAAATTATGACTTAAGATAGCAATTTGGAAACCGACTTGGTTAAAGACATCAAAATTGCTTGATAATTATCTTACAGTCTGAGCCTTTGGGCCAGGTGTTGAATAACAAGCTATATTAATTCACAGAAAAAAAAAAAAAAAAAAAAAAAAAAAAAAAAAAAACCTCACCTGCAGCACAGAGTGCAATATGTTGTATTTCTCCCAGGATGTTTGATAAAATCTCACAGGAGAGTACTCTCATAATGTACTCATTACTGGGGCCGAACCTGTCATGTGACATTGTACAGTATGTCCCAAAAGGCTATTCAAGAGATAGTGACAGGTATTTTTAAATTAGTAAATGAACATATCAAATAAGTAAATGGTAAACGTGTGTGTGGTCTAACAAGTGTGTGAAACACTGGATTATATAAACTTTCAAGGATTTCTTTTTTGCGAGACTTTTCTGAACCTTTCATACGCTAAGGCACAGTGTGAATCTCAAAGAGAGGGCATCTTTCTCAAACGTTATTTGACTGCAGAAAGCATTTCCTCAGGACTTCTCCAGTTACTACAATTCCGTGCAACATGTCTTTTAGAAAAGGCATTTCTGTCAGAAGAAGATGCATTTATGCTATGGTAACAACCACGAAATCTTAGTGGCTTAGCACCACAAAGGTGTATTTCTTTTTCCTGTGACACGTCCAACACAGGTCAGTGAGGCCAGGGCCCTCTGCTCCACTTGGGTGTTCATATTGTCAGGCTGGCTGGTCATCACTTAAGCAGGTTACGAGAGAGCCTGAAGAATCACACAGGAGTGTGTCACTACCTAAGCCGTCACTTCTCACATTTCATTGGTCGGAACTGGTCGTGTGACCCCACAGCTGCCCATATACTAAGGAAGGAAAGGGAAATTGGGTATTCTGAGCACCAGTAATGTCAACCTTAGCAGTATATTGAAACACCAGCTTTACCGTTTGTTAGCACTTTGACTTTTATCCATAAAACAAGGAGTGGTCTTTAAAGTGTCTGGCAGAGACTACAATGATCGTTAAGTATTTCAGTTACTCCCTATGCTCCTCAACCCTGTTAAAGCTAGCAGGAGCCATCTGACTAGGTTTGGCCACTGGAATGTAAGCAAAAATGATGGCGTGTCACTTTGGGCCAATGAAATTAAAAGCCCGGTCTTGGGGTGCCTGCGTGGGTCAGTGGGTTAAGCGTCCAACTTTGGCTCAGGTGAGCCGTCTCATGGCTTGTGAGTTCAAGCCCTGAATCGGGCTCTGGGCTGACAGCCCAGAGCCTGAAGCCTGCTTCAGATTCTGTGTCTGCCTCTCTCTCTGCCCCTCCCTGGCACATGACCTGTCTCTCCTTCCAAAATAAATAAAACGTTAAAAAAATTTTTTTAAAGCCCAGTCTTGATTCTCCAGTTCTTTTCCCTTGCCTTAATGACGAGAAGGATGTGAGTTCCAGGTGTGTGAACCTAAGATGGTATAGCCTCTGTGCCCTTAAAGGTTGGGATGGCTGCATGGACTACAGGCACCTGCTTACCTGAGGAAAATACATGGTGTGAGTGAGAACCCGGGTTATGTTCAGTCCCTGGAATTTTGTGGTTATTTCTTCAGACTAAGCCTTGATTCTCCTGACTCAAATAGTCTCTTTCAACTCTGAACTTTCTGTGCTTCCAGAAGGGTTTCCTCTCTTCTCTACTGAGCAAATATGCATTCCTTTGGATGCGAGGAGATTTTTCCAAAGATCATCTAACGCTTTCAGTGGTTGAGCATATCCATGACAAGCATTGTGCCCAACTCCAGTGTGGGGTGATCACGTGGAGGGCTTTGCCAAGACTTAAACCAAGATTAGAGCAGAGTTTAGTCAAATGCAGGCCAGGGATGGAAGCTGTAAAGAATGCAAAACACATGGAGTAAGTGAGGATGTTTCAACAGGGCCTCATATTCAACAGGGCCTCATACACAAAGATATAGAAAAGAGAAGGGGGGAAAACAGGCCAAGGAAAGAGACCGCATTCATGACTCAATCTCACAGCCTTTTAAATTCTATATTCAGGTGCCCAAAACACCTCCCATGATTTCTTCATCACTGCAGTAGCAAAATTAAGAGCAAAAATAACTACCTTTAAGGCAGTATAATGTAAGGTAAAAGGAGAGACTGATAGGTCTGTTAAATACACACACACAACAGGCTTAGTATGTCTTCAGCTGTGATACACTCATTGGTGTCCTTCAGACATGAATCTTTATTCGGGACTCTCACAGACTGAAGGTCACTTTCCTTGTGTTGTTTGCACTTTGAGTGCAAGGTTCTAATGAGTCTGACATCTTGGCTTTGTTACATTAGTGCCCCAAATGTTCTCAGCTAACTCTCCATTCTCCCTACTTAGGGCTTTTCTGTATGAACCAGAACCGGGTTGTGACCAGCTTGATGACAGCGGCATGTTTCACTGGTGCAGAGCAATTGCTTTGGACAGAGTGATTCTGGTAGGTGATCTTGCACCAAATCTCAGATAAAATAAAGCTACTCATCTAGGGAAAGTAAGTCCTTACACTAGTTATATAAGCGCCTGCCATTTCTCTTTGTACACTGTGAATTTCAAAGGAAGGACACATTCCTCTCCACCCATATGAATGGTATGCAGGGTAACAGATGTAGCATTTGACAAAGACGATGTGGGTAATGTGCTGGGATTTGAAGCAATCAGATCAGATTGTTCAACTACTTTTTCCCTCCTTTCAGGGTTTAGCTGAGTCAGTTATTTAGAATAATGTTCTCCTGACACTTTGCTGTTTTGCTAGTAAATCTAATTAATTTCAGTGCACCAGGGAAACCATTTACAAGAACTCTGAAGCCTTTCTTTTTTAAAAAGTAAATAAACATTTTCCTAATTATTGATTTTAAATTTTGGATTTTCTATAGTGGTTTTTCTTAAAGCCGGCTGTACTTAAGCGTAATACATTAGGCAAGAGTGTATCTCCCAGATGCATGACCTGGATGAATCCTAATAGATATTAGAATCCTGTCCCTGCCTCTGTTTTCTCAAGGAAATGAACTAACTCAATTTACTGAAATGCCAGCAACTAAGATGTAAAAAGTCTGTATCCTAATCCAGGCTCTGACACCTGCTTTCTGGATCCTCATCTATTCTCATTTTCCAGAGTTAGCATAATCTCAGTGGTTTACTTGCAAGCAGTAGTTGGTAAATATAACTAATAAAAGTGATTATATGTTGTATGAACCCTATATCATTTTTTCAACTATGACTAATTGATAATTATATCTTTTTCTTGCTTTCCAAAAGTAGTTCAGTTCACTTTTCTTCTGTTAGACACACACACACACACACACACACACACACACAGAGCTCTTGTGGCTTGGTACCAGTGTCCTGACAGAATATGTTCCAATTTTTGTAAAAGCCTGATCAATCATTTGATCAGAAGCACAAAATTGTCAGAACTGTCATATCAACTAGAACACTATTAGGGTTGCGGCTGAAATTCACCATTTCAGCAATGATGTCTTATTCTAAACTAAGCAAAATAAACTCCGTTGAGTAGGAAGATAAACATGTTTTCAGTGGGAGGGGAATCATTAGAAAGGTTGAGAAGTTGGTTGCAGATGGAGGTATCCAAGAGACCAAGAAATAGAAATGGCAGATGCTTTATCATACCTATTTCTTAAGCACAGAGACAGGTTGCCATGCTAGATAGCTCCTTTCTGACGCTTGATGTAGAATATAGTTCAGGACACCAACTAAGTCTTTTGGTAAGTTTATTTTTAATTTTTTTTTTCAACGTTTATTTATTTTTGGGACAGAGAGAGACAGAGCATGAATGGGGGAGGGGCAGAGAGAGAGGGAGACACAGAATCGGAAACAGGCTCCAGGCTCCGAGCCATCAGCCCAGAGCCTGACGAGTCTTTTGGTAAGTTTAAAAGGGCTTCTAGTTTAAGAAATTCTAAAGGTTTTGAAATTTGCGACCATAGAGGAGAAATGTCCATACTGCAGAATTCAAGGGGTCTTCGAATTTGGTTTGGTTTGTGGAAGGGTCAAGTGGAAGTGGTTGGCCTAAGTTACTTTGAACAGATAGTGCACCCTCCACTTCCTCCCAAAGCTGCCATCTTTCTCAATTGGGAGACAGTTTTGTGCCACAGTTTGTTGGAGAAATTGCCTCTCTAGCTGTGCCCATTAATGCACTCTGCCGTGCATCTTGTTTCTAATTGTTTAGTTCTACTCAGAAGAGCGATAGTTGGACTTCAGGCATGTTACATTAAATACCGTTAGAGGCTTCATTATTCAAGTTACAACTAATCAGATTAGGGAGAGACAATTATTTAATAGATTTGGTTACGATTCACATCACTCTCTAGGAAGGCTCTCCAGACAAGTAGCTTTATTTCCCCTCACAGGGCAATTCCCTCTGAAAAGAGAGTATTTCCTCATATATGCTAATTTGACAAACTAATTGTGGAGATGTCAGATGTTACTTATTTATCTGGTTAGATTTTATCAGCCCGTGTTTCACAGAAGCTTGTCATTTAACCCAGCTAAGGACGGGCGTGAGGGAGGATGATGTATCCATTTGAAGTATTCTGAGTCTTCATGAGCAGACGAATGTAGAACACACTCATACATGAAATGCTTTTAAATGCATTTAACTTGTTCTCTACCACCTTCCAAGAGTCCTCCTCTGAAACTCTGGGAATTCAATAAGATTCAGAGTTGATTAATAGGTATTGAACAACAGCTAATTAATTGAGCATTACATTTTCAATATGGTATTTAATTTCCACAACAGAATTCACTCTTATTTTTAAACCATTGAAACTTACAGAAATTGAGGGTGAGAGGGTTAAACTAGTTTGTTCATAGTCATACAAAAGAATACAGAATCAGGTCTTCCTCCAGATCCAGTGCTGCTTCCAGCCCATCCCAGTGTCACTAGAGAAGACCTTGACTCATTCCCTGGAAGAAATCAGACAAAGGCTCAACATGAGTTTCCTACAGGAATATCATCTCTCTCTTTTTTTTAAAGTGACATTTATCATTCTTAAAAGTCTCTGTGAATGTGGGAGAAACCTAACCTAAATATTTGTCATGTACATTATTATTTCAACTTAGAGATATTAAAGAAACGTTAACAACTGGTGCTGCTGATGGTAGTGCGGGACATGTATAAATGCTTGAGTTCAGATGGAATTTTTGTGACCTTTTTATTTCTTTTGTGCACTTTGCATAGGAATTTCTTCAACTTTGCAAAAGCATCTGTTGAATCAGTTTGGTGTATTAGGTGGAACCATATAAAATGACCAATATTCAACCATTCTTGGCCCATGAAAAGGCAATTTCACATGTTCCAAATTAATGGATATATTCGTATATACAAAAATCCACTGAAAACTGCAGAATTTTGTACAACCTGACGTGATTTTCAGGGCTCACTAGAAAACATAAATTTAGCAAAGGAACTTGTAATGTCTTAGCTTTCCATTGAATCTCACTATAGCACATAGAAGGCCAAAAACATGTAATGACAATAAAAGATGTGTTCCCCATTTGGTTCTATGATGTCACACCTCAAGAAATGACACTTATTTGAGTTTTAATTGATGTACTCCAGGCTAATAAAAGACTTTAAACAGTGGAGTCAGAAGGAACTCTACAAAAAGATAAAAAGTAGAATTGCCCAAGGCAGATAAATTCCATTTTTATGAGCAATTTGCAGAATTACATTATCCTTGTGGAAGTACTCCTGTGGATGTACCTAGAAGTACTGGTATGAGGGGAAGGAGCCCTCTTTGAGAGACTCTCAGCTTGTTTCTAAAACTGACCAGACTCTGGCCTGCTTATGCTTAGAAACGAATGGACAAGTCAAAACATGAGTTTCGGAACCATGTGGTAGCATGTGTCTTTGGAGATGCCCACTCAACGCTGATGGGGCTTCGGAATTTTGTAATACCCTTGAGAGCTAGCAGCTATACCCGGCAGGAGCTGAAGGACATTGTATTCATCGGATCTTTGGATTACCTGAAGAGAGAATGGGTGTTTCTCCGGAATTTTCCCCAGATATACATTCTTCCTGTAAGTGTCACATAGAGTGAATATTTGTATTCACTAATGGTACTAGCATTAATAACAAAATAATAGCTTGTAGTTATATAGTGCTTACTGCTATCAAAAACTATTCTAAGCATCTTACATAAAGTAACTCATTTCATCCTCAAAGTAATCCTATGGGGTAGATTGTGAAAGTGTTGAACTTTGGGCACAGAGAGAGTAAGTAAGCTGTCCAAGTTTACACCACTGGTAAGTAGCAGAGCTAAGACCTAAATCTAGACATTTTGGCTCCTGGGTTTATGCTCAGGATCCACTGTATGTTATGTTTTATGTTTATTATTATGTTTTATGGTTTTTATATAACTCACAGTTTCTCTGCATTTCTGAATCTGATTCTGACTTAATAGCTAAAGCTAATAGCTAAGCCTTTGTGTTCCAACTTTCTCGTCTTTTCTGGAGACACATCTAATCTGGAACACATAATGCCACACAGTCCTTGATAGATGTATGAAAAGGAAGAATTCGGTTTACATTTATGAGAAATGGATCGGTTCTGCATATATGACATTGTGGTTGTAATTGTATTTGCTCTGAACCTTTATAGGTCTGTATGCCATTGTATCCCTCTCTTTCCCTGGATTAAAAAAAAATATGGCGGTGTGAAATGCACTAAAGCATGTAATATTTTTCATGAAATGATGCTGGCAATGTGTAATATTTTTCAAATTTCAAAAATGGTTCCGTCAAGGAACAAATTTCATTTCCCTTTAAAAAAGGCACCAAAAGTTCTCTGCACTGCACCCTTTTATTAGGCCAGAGAAAGGAAGACAGGAAAAGAACCAGAAATCTCCAGATCCAGCTAGTGTTAGGAATTACCAGTATTCTAGTCTAAGCTTCCTGAGGGCGGGATCAGATCTATCCCTGTGTCTCCACCAAATTGGGAAAGAAGTAACCACCACTATGCTAGTTAACCCAGAGAGTAACAGGAAAGGTCAGCTACAAACAAAATTGTGGGGATGCAAAATTTGCCTTTAGATCCATAACTTCTCCTTTCTCTGAATGTTTCCTGTTATCCCTACTGTTATCCCTAATTTGCTTCTCCCACTTGAGTCATATGAATGGATGTGGGCTCTTCTGTCTCCACCCTCCTTTGGCTCATCCAGACTTGCTCTCAAGAAAGGGCCTGTGAAATTTAGTCACACTAAGATATTAATGATCAGTGAAGCTAAATGTGTTCAAATATCAGGTAGCTGAGTCTTGAAACCAAGTCAATGGAGGCTGGAGAGGGTTTGGCTGAAAAATTGGCATCACCCACAAAGAGCCATTACCCTGAGCCATTACCCTGAGCCATGAAAAATTCCCTCCATCTGAGAAGTCCCTCCTCTACTGGGTTTTCTCTCGTTAGGGATCTGCACTCTTTCCTGAAGACCTCCGTGCAGCCAACATAGAGGAATGTTCCATGTGCGCCGTTCTATCCTCCTCATCCAAGGCATTGAGCAGCCCAGCTTTGGTAGACACAGAGACCATCATGGCTACCCTCAACATCGGATCACTGCGGGTTATCTGCGCTCCCCATATGCCTGAAGAACCATGTAAGAACAACTCCCTGACAGGAGGAGGCTAGAGAGAATGGAACAAGGAAAGAGAATTAACTCCTCTCAGAAGTATTTTGATAATGGGGAGGAGGAGACATTGAACCAGATAGCCTTGAAGTTCCCTTCCAACTCTGAGAATTCTATAATGGAAGTAGCAGACAGTTCAGTCCTTGGGGATCCTAAGTCAAATGAAAACTATGTCTGTATTCTAAATGGAATGCATGTAACACTATTTTCCAATTTTAAGAAAAATCACTGAATTTTTAGTGCTGTTTTTGTTGTTGTTATTAAATATTAGTTAAGATAGAAATTGGCATATTATTATAATTAATAACATTTAGTAGTAGTAGCAGTAGTAGTATCAATCCTCATTGGATCTTAGAGTTGTTTCCATACTCTTCCTAGTTTCATGTTTGAGAGAATGAAGTATAACTCTCTCTTACTCTTTGAAGATGCTTTTAATATATGAATTGTACAAGATTATCTCTAAGGTCCCTTTCAACTTCTACAGACTAAAAATGTTGTATTGCAGCTTCAGATTGGAAAGAGATGGTGAGAAGCAGGATCTGTTCAGGATGGGGATCAAGTCTCTTCCTCCTTTGTATTCCTCTTAGTTCCTAGTACAACTATGGTCACTTAGATGCTTACCACATACACACTGAATTGCAACAAATAAGCCAGTAAGATGGACTCTTGAGCCCTTATGTTTGACTGTACCCAAGTGTTCAAGGTAAATTCCCACTAAATATTGTGGTTTTCCTTCTCCTCCCAAATAGGAAAAGGCTTACTATTAATTTGTTTCCAAAATTGAGTACTAGACACTCAACCTAATATGAAAGTACTATTTCTGAAGAATTTTCTGTATCTAAAACAGATTTTCAACTCAACAAATAAAAGTAAATCATGGTTGGGGTTCCCTGTATCCAGCCATTTCCCTTGGGAATGTTGATCCTCTGTATCAGGATCAGGAACTTAGTCCTTTAGCCACATAGCTGTTGACCACTTTGCATGGAACTTGGAACAGTCAGACATCAACGGCATCACAAGGCTTTCATGATTATTGTTTTGGATAAAAATGTTCATGAATCAAATTAGGAAACCAAGAGAACTCTCTCTGACTCCTAGGTGCTGTTGCTAGGTGAGAACATAAAAGGGTCTTGGGACAGAGGAATAAATGAGCAATCTAGCCTAATCTCTGGTAGGTGAACTGAGCCAGCTACCTGAGACACCCTCACTAAGCAATGAAAGCCCACTCAGCACCCAGAGTTTCAGGGTGTTTTGCAAAGCAGGCTAATAACAAAGCACTTTATGAATATCAAAGTGCCATGGAAATCCAGACTGAGGATGTATGAACCATATCTCTGCTGAGCAAATCAAAAAATGCTGTTGTGCTCTGCACATAAAACCTTAGCTTAGCAATTAGGCTCACTCAGATTTACACACGATTTGTGTGTGATATATGTGTGAGTGGTGTGTGTGTGTGTACACACCATACTTATAACTTTCTATAATTGGACAAAGAAGAAGAAGTATTCACTTTAAAGGCAAAGTCATCAGTATACAAATGAAAATGCCCACTTAAGCCTGGGATAAGCTGACATTGGCCATTGAGTTAATCATCTCGGTGACTTGTCCTTCCTATCATTACTTTTACTTCATCTCACATCTTATATAGGCTAGAAAGAGAGAAACCTATGGATTTAATTCCACTTTCCTTTATTTCTAGTGATTTTTATCCCTTTGCTTATTCATTAATTCAACAAAACAATATTGATTTGGTATGATGTGCCATGTACTCTGTTACAGGCTAGAAGGATGCCCTCAAAGGAGAAAGATTAATTGGTAGAAGGAGGTAAAAGAGAGAAGGAAGAAGGTTTGGAAAGGGGCAGAGAAAATGAAGAAATATCAAAGTATTTCAATTGTTATGAAGTATGAGTACATGCTTTCCCCAAAGATAAAAGGAAAGGTTTAGAGAAAAATGTATTGTGGGAGGCTTGCAAGGTTTCTTTTAGGGATATCATCATACCCAACTGTGTGACCAGGAAATGGAGACCTAGACAGGCTCTACTGCGCCACCTAACGAAGGTCACTGAGTCTGCTTATCTGCGGGCTATAACATCAGTAAAGTCACGTTATGAGCACCCAAGAATAGCAAAGGATCATTACTCAGATTTTTCATCAATTACTCTGGCATTATAGAAATCTACTCGGAGTTTATATAGAGAAATTCTGAAGCCTTGAAGAAGCCTATTTGGCTCTCTTAACCATTCTTCCCATTTCATGTGAATACCATTCTTGTACCATCCCTAAGAGATAGAAATGAGAATATACACTTCCAAGAACTGACAGTATAAAGGACTATGAAATTCTGCCAGGCGTCAGAAAACATCTTGCATGCTGAGCACCAACATAAGACTAGCCAATGGGCAGTTTGCTCTCCTTTCCTCTAGGACAGGGGTTATCAACCAGGGGCAGTTCCCCTCTCCCCTGCCACCCTTCCACCCAGAGGTCATCCGACAATGCCTAGAGACAGTTTTGGTTGTCCCAACTTGATGGGATACTATTGGCATCTAGTGAGTAGAGGTCAGAGATGCTAGTAGACATCCTATAATGCACAGGACAGCCCCGCATGATTTAAAATAATAATAATAACAAAAAACTTTTTGGCCCCAAATGTCAATAGTACCAATCAGAAACCTTGCCCTAGCATATCTGGTGAGACTCTTGTGGGATAAACAGGCTTTTCCACATCTTCGCAGTCATGATAAACTTATATGTGAAGGCCATCGAGGACTACCAAGGCTATTCCATACAGTGATTCACCAAGGGATGTTGGGAGTTGGGGACAGCAGAGTGAGGACTTTCTTAAGGATCCATAAGAACGCCAGGCCTCCTGGACATTTCTGTGGGAAACTTTAGGTTTTCCAGTGACGTTCTAATTATTGCCCTGTCACATCACAGGGAGAGCAGGTTGGCAAACCTAGGTATTGAACTAAATAATCTGTGGCATAATCTAAACATATAATGGTAATTAAGTCTGACAACTTAATATGCTACTGAAATTTAAATGTACAGTAGTAATCTACAATTAAGCAATCTTTTATAATAGCACCCTGCCAGACTGGAAGATTTCAGGTATAATACTGTGTACTATTACATAGCAAAAATATTGACAATTAGTGAAATATATCCAGGCTATGATCTGACACATACTCAAATTAACCATTGCTCTACAAGACAAGAGGGAGTTAAGGCAGAAATTCAGTTGCTGTCCTTCAGCTGGTGTCCAAATCAGTTATTTCAACTGATAAGCATGTGTGTGCACCTAGTAAGAACATTTGAGATTGAAGCCTCTGACTATATGTACTTAATTCACAGATTTGATAGGACCGTGGTAAAATCCTGATTGCTCTATAGTTTCCACTGCTCACAGCAGCCAGAGGGATCTTTTATAAATTTTTTTTTTTATTTTTTTTTTCAACGTTTATTTATTTTTGGGACAGAGAGAGACAGAGCATGAACGGGGGAGGGGCAGAGAGAGAGGGAGACACAGAATCGGAAACAGGCTCCAGGCTCTGAGCCATCAGCCCAGAGCCCGACGCGGGGCTCGAACTCCCGGACCGCGAGATCGTGACCTGGCTGAAGTCGGACGCCCAACCGACTGCGCCACCCAGGCGCCCCATAAATATTTAACAGATAATGTCAGTTCCCTACTTTAAACCCTATAATGGTGACCCATGACAATTATAGGAAAATCACACAGGGTTTTGGAGGCCAATTGGGAGTTTGAATTTTCTCCTACTTCATCTTATTTATACTGACTCTTTCCTGCTTTGTATCCCTTATCCAATTCCCTCTGCCTGGGTGGCTGTTCCCTATCCCTCAGGACTCCATTCCAACATCCAAGAGACCTCTCTTCAAACCCTATCAAAGCATCACTTCTGATGAGATCATTGTGCGTGTGTTTCTTTTCTAAGTGGACCCCAGCTTCCCATCTCTCTCTTCCCTTTTCATCCTTTACATTTTTTTAGTGTGGCTCGGAGACCGGAACTCTGGTGTTCAGCTGGGTTTTGAACCTTCCTGTTGTTCCCTGCAAGGTAGCACTGTGTTTCAGGCTGGTGCCATGCATTGCTGTGTTTTGGAGTTGAGGCCCACAGAGGAAGTGAGTCGAGGCTCACCTCCTAACACAGGAGGGAAATCTGTCTGTAAACTGAAAGCAAAGCTCAGAGGCCCCAAGTCACATCCTGCCCATCTTTAAGGAAGTCCCAAAGGATTTAGGATTGAGTCAAGCCAACCAGAGATGGGAGGCAGCCAGTTCTGCTAAAGAAGAAAGAAGACATGAGCATTGCCTCATGGGCACCCGGGTACCCAGAGAATATCTCAAAGAAGCCAAGAGCACTAGGAGCCAGAAACTAGTGGTAGTATCTCCAGAAGCACTGGTGGGGAAGCACCACCATTTATTCATGGTTCCCTAAAAGTTCTGCAAGCAAATGGATGTGGATTGAGGCACAGCCTGTCTGAGCCATTACCCAGCACTAGCACTCCATGCAGAATAATCATATTTTACTTTGTCATCAATAAGCAACGACTGGGAGAGCTTCACTTTTTTGTAGTTCATTTGAAATGCCATTTAAAACACACACCACTTCTCAAAAGGAAATGCTGAGGAGGCCCCAATTTTCTTTCCCTTAACTTTGTTAAGATAAAGCATCAGGTAACATGGCATGCATTTACATCCTTGCCAAGTCTTAAAAGCCACTTTGTTTGCATTTATCAATCTCTTTTCTTTGTTGTGTGTGTTCACAAAAGGGACTTCAGAGTGTTTCACCGGATTTCCTGAGAAACCAAAATTCCGAAGAATCCCCATCCTCACTGAACTGAGTAAGTTGTGTTTCAAGGATAAAATTCAAGGGAGAAATCTTTGTGATCTAAGAATCCACAGTCAAAGGACAGAAGAATCAGAATGGGGCCCAGACAAACATTAAGTGTTTGGACATTACATTGGGCTTTTACACAGCTGGTGACATCATCAAGCAGAGCCTGTTGTATCTGGGTGTCAGGGTGCAGGAATAGCATCTGCCTTCTCCTTTTGTTCAGTGACCAGGAGGAGATCAGCCACTGACTCAGTCTGTTTGGAGGAAATCTTTTGTGGGAGGGACCACGGATTTGAAGACTTCTAGGAAGGATCTCCCAATACTCACTTACCTACCCATCATGGGACTTTAAATCAGGCATCTTCCTTTCCTGTAGTGACACCGGGGCTAGGATACCAGGGTGATGCAAATGAGGCACTTGGGGTACAGATTTTAAGGATGTGTCTGCTCCTGGGGTTCTTAAATTTTGTGTCCCAGGTACCTCCCTTGGGTCATCTGAATCCTGGCTCTGAGTGATGCTCTTCTAAAATGAAAATACTTCATGCAGAAACACCAGAATAAGCTGTTATCTCTCACCAACACCATATGGAAAATGCACATACATGAGACTTTCCTGGATGTGAGGAGCTCTGAGGGTGGGAAGAGTAGGGAAGGCAGCGAAGGTTCCTGTGCATTTGGGGATACATTTTTAAGACAACAGGGGACACACTGGGATTTAATAATAGCAATAATTGATGATAAAAGGGGAAGATACGAAAGAGGGGCATGGTGTCTTTAGCACAGATTAGAACCTGAAGCTGTCAACTGCAGTTTTTACTTACATTTTATTTTTCTACCCTTTTGAGCCATCTTCAACCCAAGGCGTAGATACACTAAGGACATTGATTAGAAGACTGTGATGTAAGTTGGAGTGGTTAGGAGAGGACCAGCAAGGTTTTCCCTGGCCCCAAAGTACATCTGGTCACCATCCAGGGACTTACAGCTTTGTTGAACTAAAGACTTTCTGGCATCAGGTAGCCCTTGTCAAATTAGTATAACAAATCACCTGTCAGCTCCCTCAGTTTTTTGTTCTTTGGCTGGCTGGAAAAGGTCAAAATGACATGAGAGCTGCAGGCCTGACTGTCAGCACTTTGGTACAGAATGTCCAGTGGCATACAGGAAAATGGCTAGGAAAGCAGAGGCCAGTAGTTTAAGAAGACACAGCGAGATTTGGACAAGGGCTCCTGGAGGATGTGTGTGTGTGTCCAGGGTTAGAATGCAAGGAGAAAAAAGTGTATGTGCATAAGAAAGGTGGGTAGATATTAGTCAGACATTGCTCATCTTTTATAAAACCATGGAGTGATTTGAAGAATTAAGGAATAATCCAGTCTTAGTTAGGAATGTATTCTGCATTGTATGCCCAGGAAGTTTGGTTTGATCTGTAATGTGACTGTCAAGAACTGTGAAGGATGTAAGTAAGACCTTATGTTACTTGCAAACCATTAAGTTGACCTGCCTCAGTTTCATGGATACTGGAAGAAGACACAAGACCCCTGGGACAGAGATAAAGAACAGTTTATTACTCAAAGCAGTGGCAATAGCCAGAGTACCATCAATTTTGTGCTGCTTGCCCAAAGCCTCATTCCCACAGGGTGACATGACAAGGGCCAAATAATACCTGTACGAACAATGGATTGCTTTGTAGGAAAGAAACCATGGGCTTTGGGAACCAGAATCTTTTATAACAGGCAGTAAGCTTGATTCCCTTTGCTCTGGTGGGAGATATTATCTCTGTCATCCAAAGCTATTTGGTCTTCAAACATTTTTGAAACAATAATCTTGGAACAACGGCAATCAGTGCTTCTGTTTGTACTCCCAACTATGACCAGTTGCATTTCCTTCAGAGGCTTCCTACAGGGATCTGAGTTGCAGCTGGGGCAAGTATAGACATGCTAGTAGATAATTTGGCCACTTCTACAGGGGCCCCAATTAGGAGGATTCTCTAAGCCCTATTACTCAAAGTATAGTCCATGAATCAGCAGCTGGAAGCTAGAAGCTTGTTGGACACCTAGAATCCCGTTCTTACCGCCAGACTTAGTGAATCATAATCTGTGTTATAACAAGATCCCCAGGCGATTCATGTGCACATTAAATTTTGAGTGTTACTGCTTTAGCTTATCCTGGACCCAGATAACTCTAAAAACCCAAGTGAATACCAAGGTATCTATGATGTAGTGTTATGAAAAATGCCTTTAATTGAGGTGATCATATGTTCCCATTTATGCCTGTTGTCCCAGTGCAGTTATTGAGAGTGCCCCTTTTTACTTCCAAAAGTGTCCTGCTTTGAAAGGTAAATTATATAAAGGTGACATTGGAGGCATTTGTTTGGAGGAACTGGGTCAAGGATATACCCTTGATGATGAAGGTACCCAAGACGGATACATGTCTTTAGGGGAGGAAGATGCTTGGAAAGAAAAAAAAAAATTATATCTATATCTATATCTAATCTATATATATATATATATATATATAATATATATATAATATATATTAGATATATTAGATATTAGATATACAAAAGTAAGGGCAGATCCCACATTGGCCCCAGAGTAGACATCAGATCCTTTGATCAATGGTCACCCCTTGGCCTGCTTTGTATGGCAGTCTCATATTCTTAAGCTTGTCTGCCTGCCTTTCTTTTTTTCCTTCTTTGCTTTGCAGAAAATCCTTCCAATATCCACTATATTGAACAGCTGAGTGGACTGGATGAATCATTCTCAGGAACAAACCTGCATCTCAGCACATCCTTTTCCACTGGCACCGTCTTTTCTGGCAGCTTCTTGGATTCCCTCCTGGCCACAGTAAGTGCAGCTGAGCTGAACCTGTGAACCAAGCCCCTTGCAGAGGGTAGAAAGGATGGTTAGGGCTTAGAGAATTGATGAGAATTCCTCACAATTCTGAGTTCTCTTGGAATTTCACAAAAAATCTTGTTCAGATACATTATTTCATCTTTTTTCACAACTACCTGGCAACGGGAGCCAAATGTTCACATTTTCAAAATTACAAATGTCTTCTGGCCCTTAGAACGAGACCACTTGGTACCAGGAAGAATGAGCACCTAAAGAGGAGGGTACCTACCTTTGAGCTTCAAGTGCATCTTGGCAGACCAAGCTGTGGTGTCAGAACTTATGAGATACTCCTTTCTCCTCTCTCTAAAATATCGTCAACAGCCTATGCAGGACTCAGCCATAAAGGGACAGGGGGACTAGGAAAAAAAGCTTTGGCCTTTGGCGATATGAGTTTTGTTCAGAGCTATGTTGACTCTCCCTCCATGTCACCCCTCTCCTGGGGTGCTTTGTTTTGTTTTGTTTTGTTAATGTTTATTTATTTTTGAGAGAGAGACAGTGGGAGAGGGGCAGGAAGAGAGAGGGAGAGATAGAATCCCAAGCAGCCCCAATGCTGCCAGTGCAGAGCCCGATGCAGGGCTCAGACCCACAAACCGTGAGAACAGGACGTGAGGAGAAATCAGGAGTTGGATGTTCAAAGGACTGAGCCACCCGGGTGCCTCCTGGGCGCCTAACTATGTGGTTGGTCTTCAGCTCTCAATACTTCTTTAGCTTCTGGGGCGCCTGGGTGACGCAGTCAGTTAAGCGTCCGACTTCAGCCAGGTCACGATCTCGCGGTCCGTGAGTTCGAGCCCCGCGTCAGGCTCTGGGCTGATGGCTCGGAGCCTGGAGCCTGTTTCCGATTCTGTGTCTCCCTCTCTCTCTGCCCCTCCCCCGTTCATGCTCTGTCTCTCTCTGTCCCAAAAATAAATAAACGTTGAAAAAGAAAAATTAAAAAAAAAAAAAAATACTTCTTTAGCTTCTGAGCATGTCCCTTGCCTCCGCTCCAGCATTTCCATAAGTAGAATTAAATGCACTGTGAGAAAACCTACTCTATGCAGGGCACACTGTTCTAGGTGCCAGGGGTACAACAGTGATGAAACAAAAGTCTGTGTGCCCACGTAGAGCTTAGGGTAGTGGAGGAGATTAATGTAAACATGATAGCCGCGCCTGGGTGGCTCAGTCACTTAAGTGTCCAACTCTTGGTTTCGGCTCAGGTCGTGATCTCACGGTTCATGAGTTTCAGCCCCACATCGAGCTCTGTGTTGACAGTGCAGAGCCTGCTTGGGATTCTGTCTCTCTCCCTCTCTCTCTGCTCCTCCGCCACTTGTGCTCTCTCAAAATAAGTAAATAAAACTTAAAACAAAACAAAACCAAACACGAACCTGAAAAATAAGGGCCATATGTGGCATGTCAGATATAAGGGCTAAGGCAATGTGAGATAAGAAATGTGAGGGTTAGGAAAGGAGTTGCAAGTTTCAATGGCGCGGCCAGAGAAGGAAGGCAGCACTGACGTCGAGGCATGCAAGGCCAGCTCTGGGGAAGAAGGGAGTTGGTGTCATTCTGATCTTGGGAGAAGAAACACTGCAGGCAGAGAGGAGAAGGGAAAAGGCAGTGAGGTGCAAGTGCTCTTATGTCCAGGGAGTTGGACTAAAACACAAAATCTGTACGTCACCATTTGTGAACGACTGCAAGAACCCCTCCACAGGAAACCTGGCTGCCTCACAGACTCCTCCCCAGAGTTTCCAAGGGAAGGGCTGCGGAGCGGCTGAATACCAGTGTATAGACGCACAGGGCTCTGAAGCCAGTTTGATAGACTTGCAGCCTTCTGTAATTCCGTGTGGAAAGGGCATCATTCCTGAATTGTGCAGGTGCCTCAAAGGCACAGATTGCACTTTTTAGGGGAGCATGGCTAGGCCATAGGCACTGCCCTCATGGCAGCAGGGGATTATGTTGCCTTGGCCTCTGCTTCCCTAAGGCTTGTGGGGAAGGGGTGTCATAAATCCCATCCGGTTCTCAGAGAGAGAAAACTATGTCAGTGATAGCTTAACATTAAACAAGTTGGTAGACTATGAATTTCCCAAAGGGTTAGGCAGCATTCAGCCTTGACTGAGCCAGGGGCCCAGTCAGGTGACCTTGCTGGGAAGATGGCTCTGTCAGAGAAAGGGTTTTATCACTGTCTGTCATTGATATGTCAGTTCCCTTGCCGGTAATTAATGACTTGAAGTGTCAGGCAGGAGGTGACTTTGGATGAACTGGACCGTCTGCAGGATACATTTTCAATGGGGTTAAGGTCCCAGGTCTCTTCAGAGATCCCTAGATGACAGGCACCTTCGTGCCTTAAATTCAACTGGAGCCTTAATTAAACTCCACTGGCCCACAGCAGCAGGAACAAAGTCACAGACTCTGCTTAGAACTAGTGGGAAGAACGGGATGGGCAGAGAAGGGCTAAGAGAATAGAAATAAAAACAAATGAACATACAACGTAAGCCAGCATAGGAAACACAAACTCGGTCATGAGAGCCAGCAGCTGGGCCTCTTACCACTTACCACAGGACCTGTGACCTCACTGAGAAGTACCACCTCCTCCCAGGCTACCTTCAGGTATTGCACCATTGGGCTTCTCAGTGGGAAAGGACAAGTTCATCCTCCTGGAAAAGGAAATAAGCTATGTAAGAACTCAGGAGTCTTTTCTGAGGCCCTACAGTGAAGTCTGTGGAAGAGAAAAAGCCACACAACTGAGTCACATGAGGTCACAAGCCACACTGGACCCTCACTTTGTCTGCAAGGACAGGGGTGTCTGAGTGGCTCAGTTGGTTAAGCATCCCACTTCGGCTCAGGACATGATGTCACGGTTCGTGGGTTCAAGCCCTGCGTCGGGCTGTGTGCTGACAGCTCAGAGCCTGGAGCCTGCTTCAGATTCTCTGTCTCCCTCTCTCTCTGTCCCTCCCCTGCTCGCACTCTGTCTCTCTTTCTTTCTCTCTCTCAAAACTAAATAAAAGTTAAAAAATAAAATTAAAAAGGCTAGCACTTGGTCAACAGAACATAGGGTGAGCATAGCAATGGAACTTTTATGTCAAAGGGGCTGGCTTGGGTCTTGACCCTCTGCATATCTACCTAGTGACCTTCTGCCCCAGCTCTTGAATCCTTAATGGTGTACAACACAAAAAAATGAACACACTTTAATACTATTTAGAGCTCCAGCCCCAAATCTCTGGCCACGAGGAGGTGAACTAGACCTTTGAAAATAATCAGGTAACTGCCCACCCTTGTCTCCTTTGCCCTGACGTCTGGTGCTGCAGGGTCCACCTGGCTTTCTAAGGGTGGGGGTGACTTCCCATTGTCTAGCCACATAGAAAGAAAGAGGCCACAGGTCAGACCTGAGCCTCCAAGTCTATCGTCTCCCCTCTTCTGAGTACCATTTGATGTTGGCTGGCCTCCTGACCTGACCCTTGGTCTTGCGGAAATGAGAGCAGTGGCCTCGGAATATGTTCGTCACCGCTCTGCTTTATTCTCCATTCTTATCAGAGCATCTTCTTACTCAGAGGCGGGGGAGAAAGGCAAGGATCTTGGTCTCTCCTTAAAGTTAGGATGGCAGTTGCAAGCTCCGTCCGTGGCTATCACTCCCTCTAACCCATCCCCACGGCAGGTGCCACGAATGGTCAGTTTCTTTGCCTGCAGATCACACCTGCGGCTCTTTCTCAGCACAGACCTCGTGGCAACTTCTTCGAATAAGTTCTGTTGTTAGGGTAATATTAGGAATCAGAGCAATAACTGTGATAGGAATAATAATAACATCTCTGAAGCACTTACTTTGGGTCAAGGTCTTTGCTAAGCGCATTACCTGCAATACCATGTTGAATTCTTCTTTCAACCCAATTAGGAGAATATAATTATGAGCCTCATTTTACAGATAAAGAGTCTGAGGCTTAGAGGGATACATAAAGTGCCAAAGTCACAGCACTTACAGATGACAAGCTGGTTTTCAAACCCTACTTTCTGTGATTCCAGAGTCAGACCTTGCTGTCAGAGTCCTGTCCTTCCAGAAATCTTTGTGATTATGAGTAGCCTTCCAGTGCATTGACTTTCAAGTTTTGCCAAAAGGGATCTGCCTTCCAGCGTGCTCAGGAGCTGCTGAGCACACAAGCAGCGAGGGGGTCCCCCTGGGCACACTCACCCCATCAGGGCACCCCCACACACCTGTACCCCTCCCCCCAGTCAGAACAACTCAGCTTTCATCTGCACTGTGTGTGAGGCTCTGCCTCCAATTTGATTCAAAGGAGGATTTCTGGAAGGTCACTCCTAGAAGTTAGAATATGGGACCCATAGAGAGAGGCGTGAAATGGAAGGAGCAGAATCCCATCCGCTGTTCTGAGACAAGATATCCAGTTTCCGGCCCTGAGTCCTGTGTGAGGGACAGGGGTCCACCATCCCACCCCATTTAGCATGTGCCTTTTGCCTCATAATGCCCCTTCCCAAGAAACACCTTCTAAGCGGTTCTTTGGACCTGCTGCCCAGCTCAGGGCACCAAGAGATCTGTTTCCTGCTGCTGCATGGTCAGAGGTCACAAGTCAGAGCTTGTTCCCCTGATGCCCATACTACCCAGAAGGGCAAAGGGGAAAACAGATGCATTCAGAACAGATTCCCCTCAGGACACGCCGCACCCGTGTCTGAAATGAGATTAGATCACCAGTCTGGACTTCTCCACCTTTTCCTCTGCCCTCCCTTAATAAACACAAAGGAATGAAGGTGTGGGTCCCAAGGATGGAACAAAACCTGAATAACGTGCTATGAAGTCGTCACTGCTTATACTGAAGTTTTGTTTTGGATTTCGTGTCCTTTTTCATTCTATCCCCTGATACACCGGTGATTTTTTTTTTCCAACGTAAAATAATAGTGCTTCCCTCCAAATCGGGCACAGCTGACACTACGGCTTCAAGTTGCCTCTGGTATACTACTGTAAACTGCCCCAGATGGGAAAACAGTCCGGTGAAACATAATTCACATTCACATTTAATCCTCTCTCAGCTCAATACTGTAAAAAAAATATGAATGTGGAGGGGCACCTGGGTAGCTCAGTCAGTTGAGTGTCCAACTCTTGGTTTCTGCTCAGGTCATGACCTCACGGTTCATGAGTTCAAGCCCCACATCAGGCTCTGCGCTGACAGTGCGGAAGCCTGCTTGGGATTGTCTCTCCCTCTCTCTCTCTCTCTGCCCCTCACCCCTGCACATGCACGCTCATGCTCTTTCTCTCTCTCCCCACCCCCCTCAAAATAAATAAATAAACTTTAAAAAAATATATGGAGAGACACTCAGATCCATAAGCAGGACTCCTGTATGGCTTTATAACAATTGGACTTCAGAACTGGACATGAACGTAGGCAGCAATTTCCTTACTTGTAAGAAAATTGCGGCTCACAGAAAGTATGTGACTCCCTTAAGGTCCCTCTGCTGGTTACTTGCAGTTTCCCTACCATGTAGCCTCATTTTCAATTAGAAATATTTGATAAGAATGGTTGGTCTTACAGCCTTTGGAGATGGATTTTCAGAATAAAAAGCAGCAAGGAGCTAGGGTGTTACTATCTATGTTATTAGGAAATGTTGTAGGTTATGAGACAGACCTCAAGCTTCATTGTAGCTAAAAGTGAAGACACTTTGGGCCTCAACATTTTCTAACGCTGCAAGTCCAAATTCTACTAAATCTGATTATATCAGAAACACTACCCAAGTTTAAAATATGTGAAGCACATTTCAACTTTCATATTTTCTTGAGAAAGAAAAAAAAGAAAGGAGGAAGGAAGGGAGGGAGGTGAGGGGGGCGGGGAAGAGGCCAATAGGAGAGAACCCAGGATAATAAGAATACTAGATGAGCTCTCAGAATAAGGGTGACATGTAAATCCCATTATTTTCCCCAACATAGAATTGCAATCCTTTTGAAGTCAAAACTGAAGAAATGACATATTCAACAGCTAAGCCTCTCTCTGTTAAATATGCAAAGCACATGTTTCCCGAGAGCCCTTGACACCAGAACAACCCTAGAATTTAGACCTTTGCTTTCATCAGTGGAGAATTATTCTAACAGCATTATGTTTGATCACTGTACACTATGGCCAGTTGTTCTTAAACGGATTGTGGCTCAACCTGGATTTACGTCCCCTGTTCACCCCTGGATTTCAGTGAGCCAATTCTGGAAGCTCCCTTCTAGGTGGTAGCAACATGGAACAAAGAAGAAATGTAAGGAGAAGACCGTCAGTCAGGGGATCCCCTCAGGACATTTGAAGTCATCTTTTAGTCTGAAAACTACTTTAGAACTTATTTTCCTTTTATTCTCTCTTAAATCATATAGCTTGTATTATTTCCTAGGCCCTCTTGTCCCAATGGCCTCTACGTTTTGCTAGAAATATTTGTTTATTTGTTAAAAATCAACAGCCAATTGCAGTCAATATTCGTACAGCTTTGAACACCTGCTTTGTTCAATGCACCCCTGACAACATGAATGTTAAGTAGACAAAGTCTGTCCTCAGAAAGAGCACATCATTTAAGGAAATGTTGCCCAGAGTGATCTGAGCACCAACCAGTGGCAGAACCACTAGAGGTGGCCTTTAAATTTCTGATTCTCACTCCTGTCCATAAATTCTGATCCAGTAAATCTTGGATTCCAGAAACCCACACTCATGAATATCCTTCCAGGTGATCCAGATACATGAGAACCAATGTTGAAGAGAACAGAACTTAATAATGTGTGCAGTAGATCTATTTCATCCCACAAACAATATTCAAAGGTGGTATTATCATGTCAACTGTAAAGGTTATGGAACTGGTTTCTGAGAAGGAGCACGTGAATTTTCCAAAAGTATTCAGCTAGAACAAACCAGTCCAAGATTCAAAGTCAAGTATGTTTCAGAAAAACTACCAACCTTAAAATACAGAAAGATGAAATGAAGCAAAAGCCAGTGGCTGTGGGATCACAAAGAAAGGAAAACTTCATTCTGATGAAGAGATCCCCAAGTTGATGAGCGATCAGATGTTCTAAAGCAAAGGCATGAAGGAGTAAACATGTAGCTTCAGCAACAGATAGACTATTGAGCACTGGAGGGCACCATTCACAGAGGAGATGAGCTTGGTTTTACAGCAAGGGTTATGACACTGAAGGTTTTAGGAGGTGGATGGCATGACTTGATTTGTGTTCGAGAGAATCTCTCTGGAAACAGTTCGAACAAGGATTCCAAGTGAGAAGAAAAACAAGACGGGAAGACAGGTAAACAGGTTGCTATCATAATTCAGTCTGCAGAAGATGAGTCCTTGAATCTGAGAGTAGAGAAAGTGAATGTCAACATTTCTAAGACAGTAACAATTGAGTTCATTACTATTATTTTTTTTTTAAGTTTTTATCTGCTTATTTGGGGGTGGGGGTCAGGAGGGGCAGAGAAGAAAGAGAATCCCAAGCAAGTAAGATCATGACCTGAGCCAAAATCACGAGTCGGATGCTTTAACCAACTGAACCACCAGGTGCCCCATTGTTTTTAATTTAAAAAATTACTAGTTTTTCTATAGGTACTATTTAAACCTATGAATTGTCATGTCTACTGGAGTAAAAGCCTAATTTAGATAAAACAAAAAGTATAACATTTAAAACTCTATGTATTCAGATTTGAGAAAATCTGATGGGTAATGTATTCCAGTGCTAATTACATGTATGCCAATGGCCAGTTTACACTGAATATGGTAGGAATCCTTTGGAAAAGAAGTTTAAGAAAATAGCTAGGGCCAGGGTCTCCCTGGGTGGCTCAGTCAGTTAAGCGTTTGCGAAACTCTTGGTTTCGGCTCAGGTCGTGATCTCACGGTTCGTGAGTTCGAGCCCTGCATCGGGCTCTGTGCTGTGTCAGCATGGAACCTGCTTGGAAGTCTCTCTGCCTCTTTCTCTGTCCCTACCCCACATGTGCTCTCCCTCTCTCTGTCTCTGTCTCTCTCTCTCTCTCTCTCCCCCAAAATAGGTAAACTTAAAAACAAATTAAAAATAATAAAATGGCTGGAGTTATTCGGACTCCAGGTGGTTTCAAAATAAGCAGTTGTCCCACATGTCTTCCTTTGGTTTTATTTTGATGCCAGAGATTCCAAAAATTCCATCCATTTATTCAACCCTTACAATTTTGTGTTCTAGCTCCACACAAGAACTGTGGGAGATCTAAATATCAGTAAGGCCCAAGGCAATACCTGTCCTCAAGTGGGTCACAATCAAAAGGAATATAAGTAGATTCACATCCAGAAGATTCAATTATAGATGACAGTAATCATGTCAGTAGTCCCTAGGGAGGAATCTATAGAAGTCTCATTAAATACATAGTTTTAAATGTCTGTTGATGATTATTAGGGTATCTGTGGCCTGACATACTCCTCTGCTATTTTTGGAAGACATCCTTGGTGTCAGTATCATTTCCCATTTTGTTCTTCTGCTACAGTGTAAGCCCTGAGGGAGCAAGAACTGGGTCACTCTGCACCTTGCCTAACCCAGTGCCCTACCTGAACTGCCAGTTTTTAGTTGATTTTAATAATGGTAATGAGGGGCACCTGGGTGACTCAGTCGGTTAAGCGTCCAACTTCGGCTCAGGTCATGATCTCGAGGTTCGTGACTTTGAGCCCCGCGTCGGGCTCTGTGCCGACAGCTCAGAGCCTGGAGCCTGTTTCGGATTCTGTGTCTCCCTCTCTCTCTGCCCCTCCCCCGCTCATGCTCTGTCTTTCTCTCTCTCAAAAATAAAATTAAAAATAAAAATAATGATAATGAGAGACCCTGTTTTGTGTCATTTGATCCATTTCAAACAGCGATACCCCCCCTAAATTTCCAAGGCTATACACGTCCACAGTTTCTATGCTGGTTCTTCTGACTTTGCACGTGGCTTTGTCGTTGCTTTCCAGGCCTTCTACAATTATCACGTCCTGGAATTACTTCAGATGCTGGTGACAGGAGGGATAAGTTCCCAGCTGGAACACTTTTTGGATAAGAGTTTCTGTGGGCTGACCCACAGCTGCACTTCGGTTGTGTCTGGAAGAGCGCGGTGTAAGCTGGGGCTTCTGTCCTTAAACCAAACCATTCTGTCTGACATTGAAGTGAGTCTACTTTTACCTTAATAAAGGTTCCCCCTTCCTTACCATTCTGGGTTTCTGAAAATGACTCAGGCTATTTGGGTTCCTAGATAGCCTATAGCATAAAAATAATAACAAGCAATAATACAACCTTATACTCATATTTTATAATTTACAGTGCATTTTCATGTGCTATCTTTATTTTTTACTACAATTCCAGAAGGCATATAAGGCAGTCGTTTTCATGCCCATCTTCCAGATAAAAAATCCAAGTCTGCAGGAAGCATCTGAGAGGTCTAATAACTTTGTACCTTAACAAGGGTATTAATAATAACTCTAATAGTTAATATTTACTGAACATTTTCTCTGTGCCTGTCTGCTTTGTTTTTCTTGTTATTTTTGTTTATTTAATCTGTCCAAGGATTTACATGGTAGGTATTGTTATTAATTGCATTGAACAGATCAAGAAGCTGAGACCCAGAGAAACAAGGACTTACCTGAGATCACATTTTGTCCCACTGGAAAAGCAGGGTTGCCTCCAAGGGAGTCTGACCCAGGGTCTGCCCACTCTTCCTATATCTGAGCTGATAAAGAAATCTGATCATGCCAGCTGAAATCAGGCAGAAGGATTCTGTGTTTGAGTCTAAGACTCTGATTGGGCTAAGTAGCGTAAAATGCTTGAATTTTCCTAGCCCACTGAGCTAGTGAGCAGTAGATTATGGCAAGGGGAAAAGCTAATTAAGGAAGATTCCAGTGAGGCATCTGGGTATTTGTTGATCAGACTGGGGTCTAGCCTGGCAATGAGTAATCAACTTATCAGTGCCTTTTGGTTTAGCTTTAACTGACATTACATTGAGCTCCCCGCCAGTTAGCAGGGGCAGGAATTTATAAGGAAATATTTTTCGTTTGTTCAGAGGACATCAGTAGAAAGAGAAACCCCTTCACAAGAAGCAATTTCTTCTAGGTGTCTATACTTGATATGTCTTAATAGATACTGCCAAAAAGGGAAAGCCCATGCTCTGTACATCTGAATTCCAGGTGCAAACAACATTGCCAAGTTCCCTTAGCACAGTCTGGTCCTTGGCATTTCTGTGGTCTTGGGTTCCTCACCTGAGAATGACTTACGAGTGACTATCAGCCCAGGACAACTGCCGCCAGCAACTGCCTGTTACTATCAGAGCTGACAGTGGACTGGTCAACACTTCCTTTCTCCACTTATATCTTGTCCTCATTTTGTTCTTTACCCCATAGCATCACATAATGAAACGGACTGTTCTCAAGTGACTTCACTGAATCCCCTTGCTGTTACTTTGACCATGTTGTCTCATGATGCCCTTGTTGGGTGTAGCCTGAGAATAGTGTCAGGAGGAAGGCTCGGGACTGTGTGCTATTTGGAGAGTAGGATAAGAAAAACACTCTCTTGAGTTCACTTTACATCCCAACCCATTATATAGCTTGAAAACTGAATTTCCCAACCTGTTACTCATTGTTACTTCTTACTGGTTACCAAAACAGCGGTAGTAATAAAAACTAGCATAACAACATGCTCCACCACACCCACGAGGGGCTCTGGAAGACCACGTGATAAAAACAATCACTGGGATTAGAGGCTCAAAACTATTCATAAACCTAATTTCCTACTTGACAATGCCACCATAAAAGATTTTAGGAAATGGCTTTTGGGTCTTCCAAACTTTTACTGCAAGGAAAGATAATAACTTTCCAGTAAGTGCTTGTTATTGCTTAATTAAAGTGCCAACAGACACATGTTTTTCTCTTTTCTCCCCAGCCAAGAAAGACATTTGGGCAAGTGTTCTGTGGCTCATTAGATAATTTTGGAATCCTGTGCCTTGGCTTATACCGCATGATAGATGAAGAGGAGAACAACCCGGAAGAAAAAAGGGGAGTATGCTACCTTGGAAAGTGGTACCCATCTATCCAAGCATAGGAGCCAAAGCTACTTTATTTTATGTGAAAGAAAAGTCCAGAGCTGAGGGTCCATGCTTACAAAGAAGGGTCCAGGGGGAGTAGAGAGTGATGTAGGAATAAGGAAGCATGGGTGTGAATAACATGAATGAACTGATGATTGGGATACAATTACTACTGACTATGTAAGGAGAATGGTGTCTGTGTCCCTAGTGACAGCTAAAATGTAGACCCAGATTTTAAATCAGGGTTCTTTTGTAACTTACCCCTCATCCATCTCTATGCAACTTTTTAAAGCTAAAAGCCACTGGAAAGATTTACTTGTTTTCTGCTGGGCTCCTTGGGTAAATGTTTATGGACTGCCTCATTTCTAGCCCATTTGGCTTGGTATGTGTAAATTGTGGGAGTGTTATGTTCATATTTCAGTTGAAACTAAGATCCACTTGATAGCAGCATAGGAGAACATAAAGGAAATGTATGTGGAAGGCAGAAGGGGAAAAGAGAGGGTACAGTCTACCGACAATTCAATAATGTAGGTCCAAACTAAGATTCTCACAGTGGGAATGGACAGGATTCAGTCCATTTTAATTTCTCCAAGGAGAAATTAAAAACAATAGAGTGGAAGAAGATAGAAAGAACCTTGCTCTCGTTTATAGGGAGAAAGAAACCAACTTCCTCGAAGTGGAGTAGTCTTGAATGGAAAGAAAACTTTCTGCTCATCAGAGAAAGGAAGGAAAAGAATGGGTGCCAAGGCAAACATTGCCATACCATGTGCTTAAACGAATTTGTATGTAACACCAGGATCTCTCAGTGAAGCATAGCCATGGCCGTTGCTGAGAGAAAAGATGGAGGAAGTATTACAGGGAGTTGGGAAAGAGGTAAAAGTGTAGGTTAGCTACCGAGAGTAATAGAAGAACTTTGTTGTAGGTTTGTAGAAGCAATACCCAACTCGAAAATGAAAGGACAAAGGATTGAAAGTCCTGATGACGTTAAACAGTGGATGTACTTAGAGTGCAAGAATGAAAGGGGACAGAATGATGGGAAGTGACAGCCAGAGAGTGATTTCTGGAAGCATGATATTTGAGAGGTGGGACATGTCAAGAAATGATGACTTCCAGTATGTGCTCAGGAAAGTGGTTTGGAGATAAGATTCTTGGGTAGGAGAAAGGTGCCTAGCTCTTGGAGTTGTAAGCCACATAAACATTGCAGGCACATGAAATGATAGTGGTCCTAGAGCTTGAAAGAAAAAGTATCCCAGGTGCAAGAGACCTAAATAAACATGGAGGTCTATAGATGATACTGATGAATCAAGAGGGATGGTGATATGGCTATAGAGTATGAATCACAAAGATGTTGGGGAGAAGTGATGTTCTGGAAGCAGCACTGGGAAGCATGAATGATGCTGGTTTCTCTCTTTCTCTGCCTGAACTCCATGCCCTTGCTCCAATACTTCTGGAAAACCCATGGAACATGGTAATAGGGAAAATGTGCAGCCCCTCTTTGAGAGGACATTCTGGAAGGAAATAATATTTCTGTTTCAAAGGGAATATGTGGCTATAGTAGATCTTATTTAAACTATTATAGATATCACAGGGAACTCAGTAGGAAAGGTAAAAAGGGGAAGATTGTTCAGTGAAAGGAGGTCAGAGGTGCACTGAGATGGGCGTTGAGGAAATACGAGGTGACGATTTGGGGCAGTGATGAAGAAATACAGGATGAAAGACATGAAAAGTTATTCTGCCTTATTCTGCCTCAGTGTTCTGACATGAATGCTCGTGTAGTAATTCATTTAACTCACATTTATTGAGGATTTGCTATGTAGCTGCTACTGTGCTAAGGCATCCTGCTGCCCTGTAAACAGGACCAGGCTGTGGGTGTTCTTTAAGACTCACTGACATTCACTATTTGCTTACTAGTCAAAATTTCCAATAAAACTGGTTTATTTTTTTTTTCCATTGGCCACACTACATTCTGTGTGAAAATTGTTGGTGTAAGTATTAGGGTAGGCCTAAGCCAGAATGGAAATAGCTGGAATGTATGTAATCTGCTTTTGATAAAGCTTGGCCAAGTGCTCACTATTGTGCCAACTGAGTTCATTAGTGTAGTGGGTATTAAAAACAGGGAAACTTGGAGTCCAAAAGTCAATTAGAGATCAATCAGTCCACACCTCCATCCTATCCCTCTCCCATTAAAGAGGTGAAAAAAGCAAGGCCCAAAGAAGGGAGATGCCATGCCTAACCAAGGTCAGAGACACTTGGTTTCAGAGGCAGAAGTGAATGTTAGTCTCCTAATTCCTAGTCTGAGGCTTCAGTTATACTGTGCCAGGGGTATTTACTATTACTCAGAAACCAATGAGGCAAAGCAGAACAAAAACATTTCCTCCTCTGGCCCAGCAGAAAGACTTCCTTCTTTTGGCCATCACCCGTAGCCATGCCATCCTGGCTGCAGAGAGGCTCAAGAGTCATCTTTGGCTTTTCTTACAGGTTTGTGATTACCCGGCCACCCAATAACTTTAAGCTACTGCCCTCGGATCTTGTGTTTTGTGCCATCCCTTATGGCACTTCTTGTTACAAAATGGATGGTACTTCATCTCAGAGTCCATATGAAATAATCAACATGGTGCCACTGGCATCAGAGACAGTTACAGAAATAAATTATTCTCCTATGGTTGACCCAATTAACCAGACTACAAAACAACCTTTGACTACATCACTTCATCATTTGCAGCCAAAAACTATTTCCATCAGTGGTTCTAAGCAAACCGTCTTACCTCACAGCAGTAAAATGCCACCCCAGCCACGTTTAGGTGAAACTGAAACCGTGAAACAAAATGAGAAAGGAAAAATGAAGGAAACCACAGAGGAGAATGCCCCTGCCTCTTCAAAATCAAACTAGGCCCGTTGATATTCTCCACAAGCCTTTAGCTTGCTACTTGTAAAGCATCTCCAGAGATGGTGACTTTGGACAGGAAAATAAAAATGGAAAGATGCCTTTTTTGTGCCCATTGCTTCGTGGTTGATGAGCAAGCCCACCCGGGGGAGAGGCAAAAGTCTGATCCAATCCCACTGGGTCTGGAGTGATAAAGAAAGAAATACATGACAAATGCTCTGTAAGAAAATTTCCTTTCTGTGTGTCCCTCGAACAGAAAATATGTTAGAATGAGCTGTGTTAAAGAGGCCCTTCAGGACTTGGGTTCCTCCAGTCAGGGGATAAAAAGTGAGCAAGATAAAAACAATGAGGACCTAGACACAGGAGACAAGAAATAAAATAGCCCTCAAATGAAGAATCTTACATTCTTTTTCCTCAAGCAGGCCAATAGTAAACCAGTATATTTTCTCCTTCTCTTTATTCCTCACGCTTTTTCCTTCTTCATCTCTGTCCGTAGGAGGTGAGAAAGATCAGATGGGGAGACACCAGTTTGAATCAGAAACCAGTTTGTATGTAACTAAGACCTAGGTATATGCCTGGCCCAGGAATGAATATTAGCATATCCTGAGATAGGGTGTCTAGGTGAAATCAGGCAGATAGAAATACATGACCTTCCACATTCTCTAATCTGAGAATAAAGACATCATTGCATAAAAAGTATACAAAACTTCCCCATGTTCCAAAATGAACCATTTACTCCCAATTGGTGGTCTCATAATGATGACCTCTGTATGTAACACCTTCTTGTGTTCCAGATACAACACAGGTAAAAGAGAAGAGGAAAGAAAATAATAAACTGTATTTCTGATATATTATTTTAAATGATGTTTGTGATATCCTTGACATTCTTAAGCCCTTTGCTAATTTGGTATTAGTACCTCCACTTTACAAAGGAAGCAGCTATGGCACAAGTAGGGTTGCTAGATCAAAGAAAAGATACCCAGTTAAATTTGACCTTCAGATAACCAGTAAATTTTTAGTATGAGTGCATCCAAATTATTATACTTTGCTAGCAAGTGATCAAATCACCTTTTGAACCCAATTGATTTGACTCCAGCACTTGCAGACATTCTGCATCCAAGCACACAAATCAAAGAAATGAAACAAACCAAAAAGAAAGAACATTCATCCACAGGAAATAAAATTTTATATTAGTTAAACTTAGTTTGTAATAAAATTAACTCAGTCTATGTGGGGGGAAAAAGGAGTAATTGTAAGGAAAGTTAAGTTGTCAGAGACCAAGGAGATTCTTTTTCTTTTCTTTTCTTTTCTTTTTTTCTTTTCTTTCTTTTCTTTTCTTTTCTTTTCTTTTCTTTTCTTTTCTTTTCTTTTCTTTTCTTTTCTTTTCTTTTCTTTTTTCTTGTTTAAGCTTACCTGAGTCATCTTTATCTTCACTTTTTACAGACTGGCTTTTTCGTTGCCTTTCATTACACGTGGCAAAGTATATTTTCTTGCAATTCCACATTTATAGATAAGAGTTGTAGGTGCATCAGAGATTTAACTGGCCTGTCTCTGTCTCTCAAATCCTAATTTCTGAAAGAAAGTATGTAGTGGGTTCAGCTTTGGCCACTCAACCACAGCTATCAATGGCTGAGCATCAGGGCATCTCCAATGAAGGACTTTTCTCAGGGATGAAAGGGAAAATGGTTCATGGTCTGGGAAGACACTGCACCAAACATCTACTGCAAAGGCAGGATCATTCCTTCTCCCCATTCTCTGCGGGATCTTTTACACATAGGAGATTTGGTAGGAAAAAATATTGCTGAGAAAGAAAAGTATAGATTAGTCCTATGCATATTTAAAATCCACAAATCCGCTGTACACATTATCAACCAATCTGTTCAGCATCTGAATCTCACTTCTCCAGAGTCAAAGCTGATCCCACAAATGAGCTCGTTTCCAACACAGCAGAGAATTTAGAATGAGAAACTCTTTATTTTTTAGTATTTTAGGGGAACAATTACCAGAAATATGGCTAAAGAAACATTGAGGTATATGCACTACAGCCAACATTTGAGTGTTGTTACTGCCAGTCTTGATAAATAAAATCATCAGAATACCCCTAGACTCCTGTGCAAAGTGATTCCATAGCTCTAGAACAAAACCTTTTACTTATAAATGGCAACATTTTAATACAAATCATGACACTAGATCCTCTAGCAATATAGTAGATTCTTAATTGATAATGATTATTCAGACCTTTATTTCACTGAAGTATGGTAGACACACAATATTACAATACAGGTGTATATCATAGTTGTTCAACAACTCTAAATACTATACTATGCTCACCCACAAATGTGGCTTCCATGTGTCACCACACAACACTACCACAATCCGTTGTCTATATTCCCCATGCTGTACCTCTTATCCTCATGACTTACTCATTCTATAACTAGAAGCCTGTACCTTCCACTCACTTTCACCCCTTTTCCCTCCCTCTCCCTTATGGCAACCACCAATTTGTTCTCTATTTATGGGTTGTTTCTACTTGGTTCATTTGTTTTGTTTTTTCAGATTCCAATATAAGTGAAATCATACGGTATTTGTCTTTGTCTGACTTATTTTCACTTAGCATAATACTCTCTAGGTCCATCCATCTTGTCACAAATGGCAAGATCTCATTCTTTTTTTTGTGGCTGAGTAATATTCCAGTGTGTGTGTGCATGTGTGTGTGTGTGTGTGCATGTTTGTACACATATATACCATACCTTCTTTATTCATTCATCTATTGATGGTCACCTAGGTTGTTTTCACATCTTGGCTATTTAAAAAGTGCTGCAATAAATATAAGGGTACATATACCTTTTTGAATTAGTGTTATGGTTTTCTTTGGGTAAATATCCAGTAGTGGAATTACTGGATGATAGAGTATTTCTATTTTTAATGTGTTGAGGAACCTCTATACTATTTTCCATAGTGGCTTCACTGATTTCCATTCCTACCAACAGTGGAAGAGGGTTCCTTTTTCTCCACATCTTTACTAACACTTGTTATTTCTTTTTCAAAATAATAATTCTCACTGGTGTGAGGAGATATCTCATTGTGGGTTTTATTTGCATTTCCTTGATGACTACTGATGTTGAGCATCTTTTTGTGTGTCGGCCATCTGTATGTTTTTGTGAAAATGCCTATTCAGGTCCTCTGCCCAGTTTTTAGTTGGATTATTTTGGGTTTGGGGGGGATGAGCTGCGTAGCTTATATATTTTGAATATTATCTCTTTTTATCAGATATGTCATTTGCAAATATTCTTCTATGTAGTAGGTTGCCTTTTTATTTTGTTGATGATTTCCTTCACTGTGCCTAAAATTTTTATTTTGATGTAGTCTTAATAGTTTACTTTTGTTTTTGTTTTCCTTGCCTGAGGAGACATATCTAGAAAGATGTTATGACCAGTATCAAAGAAATTGCCTGTGTTTTCTTCTAGGAGCTTTGTGGTTTCATGTCTCACATTTGGTCTTTAGTTCATTTTGAATTTATTTTTGTGTATGGTAAAATAAAGTGTTTCAGTTTCATTCTTTTGCATGTAGGTGTCCAGTTTTCCCAGCATCATATATTGAAGGGACTTTTCCCCCCATATATGAGAAGCTCTTTACCAATTCTAAAAAATTGTAAAAATGATGTGTTGTCATTATATTTTGTCATAGATTGACCACATAAGTGTGGGTTTATTTCTGGGCTCTCTGTTTTGTTCCTTTGATCCATTTGTCTATTTTTGTGCCAGTACCATGCTGTTTTGATATTGTAGCTTTGTAGCTTTGAAATCTGGGATGGTGATACCTTCAGTTTTGTTCTTTCTCAAGATTGCTTTGGCTATTCAGGGTCTTTTGTGGTTCCATACAAATTTTAGTGTTCTTTGTTCTACTTCTGTGAAAAAATGCTATTGGTACTTTGATAGGGATTGCATTAAATCTGGAGATTACTTTGGGTAGTACAGACATTTTAACAATATTAATTCTTGGGGCGCCTGGGTGGCTCAGTCGGTTAAGCGTCCAACTTCAGCCCGGGTCATGATCTCATGGTGAGTTCGAGCCCCGCCTCGGGCTCTGTGCTGACAGCTCAGAGCCTGGAGCCTGCTTCTGATTCTGTGTATCCCTCTCTTTCTGCCCCTCCCCTACTCATGCTCTGTCTCTCTCTGTCTCAGAAATAAATAAACATTAAAAAAATTTTTTAATAAAATAAAAAAAACAATATTAATTCTTTCAATCCATGAGCATGGAGTATCTTTCCATTTGTATCATCTTCACTTTATTTCATCAGTCTTTTCTAGTGTCTAGAATATAGGTCTTTCACTTCCTTAATGATTATTCAATTATTACTTATAGAAGAACTGATACAAAGACAAGAGAAAATATGCAAGGAACTTAATAGTTTATAAACAATATGTATGTAGGCCAGTAGTTGCTAAGATTTTTTGAGGCTTTGACTCTTTTGAAAATTGAATGAAAGGTATAGGCTTCTTCCTCAGAAAATTAATATGTGTGTATATGCCACAAAATTCATCATATAAGTGGGAGGGAGGTCATGGATCACCCTATAGCCTATTAATCCATTGTCTTTCTAAATCCCTGATATGGGCCTTCTATAACCACTGGAGTGGTGACCAGAAAGAAAATAGGGCAGGGGAGTCAGGAGACAGGAGTACTTGTTTCAGGTATCTAATTAAACACTTATGATCTTGGACAAGTTCTTAAACTTTTCTCAGCTACTTTCCCAGCTCATTTTATTTTTTTTTAATAAAAGCAGAAAGTTAAACTAGAGCATGCTGAACATTACTTCCATACTCTTTCATTGAACACATATATCCATTCACTGTCTACTGTGTATCAGGTACTGTGCTAGATGCTAAGGATAGAGCAAGACAAAGTTGCTTTCCCCATGGAGCATACACTCTATTTAGAGGCAGAAAATAAATAAGTAAATGGGCAAGATAACTATGTATTGTGTCAAAGACTGGGAAGGAACT